TTTGAATTGTCTCTAGGTACTAGAAATCTAAACCTGTTATCCTTTGTTGAAATCTTGAAATGTTATTTTAATGAAAGAAGTAGTGGCCTAGTGTAATTAACAGTGTTAATTAAAGTTAATCGATTACTTTACATAAACTTTAATAAGTTGATTTTGCCATCGCCCACAGCGCCGAAAGAAGAATGACAGGTTGATTAAAATGTTACAGAACAAGAGCTGCAAACAAGAAAAAATTGACATTTACCACGAGGACTTCACAAATCTTATCATCATCACATAGCTGAAACCACATTAAATGTATTTTCGGTTCTGATCTGGACTTTAATAATTTTTCAATCAGTAATATTTCTCTTTTAAGAAACAATGAAATAATTAAACGATATATTGATGGTGCACTTGAGGACATAAAAAATTATACCAATCTTCTAGATATCCTGATATTAATGGTATCTTTAAAAAACTGGATGATCAAAGGCTGGAAACGGCACAGTAAAGTGTTACCAGAAATAATAATCATGTGCTGACGGAAATACCAATTACATGGGTGAACGGGAAAAACAACAACAACAACAAAAAAAAAAACTGGATGATCAATGGCTGGAAAAGGCACAGTAAAGTGTTACCAGAAATAATAATCATGTGTTGACGGAAATACCAATTACATGGGTGAACGGCAAAAAAAAACAAAAAACGATGATCCATGGCTGGAAAAGGCACAGTAAAGTGTTAACAAAAATAATAATCATGTGCTAACGGAAATACCAATTACATGGGTGAACGGCTCGGGCATTTGGGGATTTCTCCAGAGGAATCATAAGTCCTGATGAAAAATGTAATCCAAATCTATCGGTTGATCAGCTCTTAACGGAAATTTTAAAACATTTAAAGATATCCAAAAACACAAGACAGGTTGAAAATATTGATGGGTGGCTTAGATAAGGTATATACACAAACAGTTACACGATATTGTTGTGTTTAAAAAGTTTGGTGGATAGGCAAATATGAGTTTAAACGTAAATGAATGACCAAATTATGAAGGTGAATCTTAAGTTTGATATAAAGAACTGAGTTCAAACAAATTATATAAATGAATGATCACATGATAATGGTCAGGTTGAAAAAGTTAGTGGTCGGAGTGAAATAAAACAAAGAAAGTGCGCCAAATTGAGCAACAAAGCATGGTTAAATTGTCATTTTCAATATTTGTTGTAGACTCGTAATATTTTATCTGAACCAATATCAGAACTCAACCAAACATCCCCACTGATAGAAGCGTGTAATCTCCGAACCCCATAACTTTAGAGGGGCTGTCAGCTACATACAAACTGGGAGACTGAACCATTCTAAGTTGGAAGACGGCGAGAAGGTTTATACACACAAATAACTAACTTGGAATAGCATAAGGCTTAGTAAAATGTTGTTCATTTGTGATATAACAATCCCTTATAATTTCGTGCGTACTTTTGTATATGGAAGTGGCTTGTGCTACAGGATAAGAGGAAACGTTAGTAATTGCTCAGTTATTCCAGTAAACTTGGATTCTTAACTTTAACTCTTCAAATGAAAACACAATTTTTCGTAACAAAACAGTATACATGATAATTTTTTATTACTATTTTTAAATCATACTGGTCGTAGCTTAACTTAAGTGCCCCACGAGCTTTCGGAGTGACTACAGTCTTTCTTGTTGATATCACCAAATACTTAGGTTAATCAAAATGTATGAATATGCTTTCAATCTGACTACAGTATTTAGCTATATATCCTAAATTTAATATCTTTATTTGTAAAATATAAGGGCATTAATGTAGGAATATATTGTGAGAGTGTTTGTACAATACAAACTATAATAACAAAAGTTATCTTAATGGTTAAAACGCCAGTACGTTATTTTCTTTGTGTTTGCTCACTAAGCTTATAATATTTCCTAGATGGTTGTTAATTCTATGCTTTTGGACACAATACAGTAATTTTTCTATCAAATGTAAGACATTTAGCGTGACGTGTATATGTCGCAATAGAACATTTACTAGACTTGACGACTTAATTTTACGAAACATCTGATTGTTAGGTTTAAGAAACATCTACTTAATTTAGTCATTGTCAGCATTAAGAAACATTCAATAAACTTAACCATTGTTGATATTACGAAATATCTAGACTGTTCATAATCACTGATAACGTTAAGAATACATTATAAATTTAAACACTGTTAACAATAAGGAAAATCTAATAAATCTTAACATTACAGAATAATTAATAAACTTTACTACTGTCAAAATCAAGAAACTTCCAACAATACTAGTTATTAATATTAGGGACCATCCAGCAGGTTAGATATTTGTTAATACCAATCTTTAACAAAACCTGCTCACCACATGAGTATTACTTGCGCCAATGATGAAATTTCATACGGGTTAAAATGAGGCAAGAATCGTTGGTTAATATTCGATATAACAAAATGTTCTTATTAAGTTTCCAATTAGAAATGTTCATTCTACAAACCCACAAGTTTATAATGTCCTATACCTATAAATGCGATGATCGAAATTGTATTCTATAAGCTAACCTTACCTTTCTAAGATGTGGGTATGGTAGGTAAAGTGATGCGACGAGATGTAGTTAGAACTGATTGCTTTCCTTACCTAAGGCCGACTGCTTTATACCTGCATGGAATGGCTGCAGTGTCATCACGTCAGCACAGTGATGGGGAAAGAAGCCTGGCGTCCGTGTCTTTCTCGCGTTAATTAAAGTGTGCTTGTCACACGATCCTCTCCTCTTTTCTTATACCAAACTACAGTAGTTAGGTTAATGAGCTTCCAACTTTTCTTATCAGACCTTGTATGTGTTTACTGAGTGCAGTAAGTTAATAATAAACAGTGGTTGAAATACAATTGTCAATCCAGAGATTGCATCTTTTACTTTTTTGAAATGGTTTTGGTGCTGTCAGTACTTATTCGTGATAACATCAGATGCTTCTGCCAGACATTTATCGCTAAAAACGCGCAAATTCAGCGAATATTTTTTAGGTTCTATTTTTTATATGCAAACGTATTTCGTATAGGTCTTAATTACGAGGTTGATTTTGTCGGAAATATCTATCTATCAATATATATATCGTTCTGTAAGTTCCATAAAAATTTTACAAATATTATATCTTGTTCTGTATCCTTGTTTGTTAGCCGCAATATAGCAGCTCATAGAATGGCACCGAGTTGTTTTTTTCCCGAGTACAAACTTTGAGCTCATAGCTTCGTCATATTTTGACCGATTTGAGATCTAATTACAGTATTGGACTTGGGAGGTCAAAACCCTTTCGATTGACGTATTTGACTACGTCCAAGGTCTCATTGATTAATGTACTCTAATTCTGCCTAAAAGAATTTCTATTTGAGGGTAGGCTGGTAGAGATCCTGATGAGTAATAAAATTGAATCTGGTATACGCGCGCCCCACGCTTGGTATTGCTATCGCATGAAAATCAATTTATATAAAAGCCAAGCGTTGGTTGATCAGTCTGTCAGTCACGATCGATTTATCCGAATTTCGTGAGTTACACGAGTCCAGTTCCACTTCTTTTCCTATAATACTTCCTCTTTTGATTGCTCGTTCCTATTTAAGTTGAGTTTAATCGCTAACATAAGCGTAAATAGCTCCGAAATTTCGGCACTTTTTCTGCTATATAAAAGCCTGTCCAGCAGGGAGTTCCCAGGACCAGATCAGGCATGGCGTTATGTGTGTGACACAACATCATCTACATCATTATGACGTCAAACTAGGAAGGATCCGAATAGGAAGACTCCCGTGATTGAAGACACGGAAGTGCATTCGCACCCTATCAACGCCTATATAAAATAAATCAAAAATGAGTGCAAATCTATGCTTGGGAATTATTACGAAAAACTGAAGATACCAATTAACTGTAGAGAAGAGGACGACTTTTCCTCAGAAGAAGAACAAGTGTGTATGTGGTCATCGTAGGTTTGCTCAGTTATATGTAGTGGATTCAGGAGCAATATGTACTATGTTCCTAGGAAAAAACTTATATATTTCTTTTATTTATTTCTGTTGTGTATTGCCAGTCATTTTCGACGGGTTTTTACGCTAGTATAGCTAATAAAAAGGAAAAAAAAAGTATCATAGATTAATTTACTCTAATCCTGCCTAAATGAATTTCAAGTGCCGCAGCTATTGAGGATTCCCTCTTGTTTTTGTTCTTGTAAACTTGTTATTGACCGATAACATCTATTGATAATAAACCAAGTTCTTACGATAACTTCTCAAACAATTGATTTTTATATAGCTTGAATTCTACATACTTACCGGATTATAACATATAAAATAAAGAACATATCGGGTTTGTACACGATTTCCAGGAAGAGTTATTCAGAGGAAGACAGGTGACCTGAGGCTCGTATATATTGTTGTTTGATAAAATTCATGCATATGGTTACGTTATATGGTCATGATTTTGTTCTTTGTGATATATTTTCAGTGTTTATTATACATAGTATTAGTTTTCATTCTGACCGAATGCATATATATGTATACAAAATATAGTATTAGTTTGATTCTGATGGAATACGTACATAGATCAATTTAAACTTAATAAATTTTTGTTTTACAAACAGCTCTCTGTTTGTGGAATAATAACAACATTAACAGAAATCCCCCCCCCCAAAAAAAAAGCCTCAGCGGTAAGTCAAAAGGCTTAAAACGCAAAACAACAACAACAAAAACGGGTTTCGATATTCGTGGTGGGCACAGCACAAATAGCCTGTTCTGTAGCCTTGTACACAAAAGTATCTACTGACTGTAGTGACTGTTAAAGGCTGTAAGAATAAAAAGGACCGAGAAAATAGTCTCATTTAATAAATACGTAATCTAACTACAAAAAGGTTATCATCGATAAAACATTGGAAAACGAAGGTTTATTTATCATATAAAATATTTTTCAAACAAACTGATACTGAAATGTCTTTTTGCTGATTTTTATTTTAGATCCCTGGTTTCCTCATCACATCAGTGACTTGGACTACTGTACTCATGTCATGACTAAGTATGAGCCAGAATTGGATAATGATCATCCGGTAGGCCTCTTTCTGTGTGGATACTTCTTAAATTGGAAAAAATAAATTATTTTAATAATTAAAGTTTTCAACTAATGATCCTACGACACTACCAGTTTCTTTAATAATTTATAAGCAAAAATTAAAGATAAAAGAGTATTTTGTTTTGGGAGGAATAATTAACACAAATATAAAAAAAAACTAAAGGAATTATCATAATTATTCAAATATATTTTGCCATATAAGTTTAAAATGTTACTATTTCATCGTTTTTCATAAGCAGCATATCCAAGCATGGTTAAACAAGAGGTGTCAATATAAAATCATATAAAAAGCTACCAAAGCTACGACGAGAATGCTATGGAGCTATTCATAAAGCAAAATACATAAACAGATTATTATATAGCTATTTCTACAATATCGATTTGGAACAACTTCCATTTCTAAAATAGCTTAATTCTTCATTTACTTTTTTATTAGGATTAAAGCCCCCCAGTGGCACAGTGGTATGTCTGCGGACTTACAGCACTAGAATCCGGGTTTCGATACCCGTGGTGGGCAGAGCACAGATAGCCCAATGTGTAGCTTTGTGCTTAATTTCAAACAAACAAACAAACAATTAGGATTAAAACTGTTTTAAAACCTAATACTTTCTGACAACATTTCTGTTGGTAAAAAAAAATGATAAGAATGACTAATTATGCTTGCCTTGGTGGTCTGTTTCAATCCTCCATTACAGTCCTTGCTATTCTAATAACAACTGTGTAAAGTACAAAATGTTTTCAAATATGCACAATGATTATAAAACATCTTTAAAATGATTGTATCTTAAAATTACATGTCTTAGGGGAGGGGAACAAAATTTAACCAGATGCACATTGAAAATCATTAGTTTTTATTCAGGATCGTTTGGACATGTTTAAAAGTTATCTTGTATTGCATACCTAAATTACTTTTCTCTCAAAATATCTTTGTCGTTATTTCTCTTTTTTTCTCTTGAGATCAGTGAGTAGAGAAAATTCTTGTCAGTGTGCAGGATATTACGAGGATCAGTTAACTCTGTCCAGAGCAGATGATGCTTATAGTAACTTCGATTACGGATAAGCTAAACAGGCTAACTGAAAACAACGTAAAATATATTTAACATTTTCTATGACAGCTTTTGAAACACTCTGTACCAAACTTTTCTGAAGAAAAAAAAACAGAAAAAACGTATGAATTCTCAGTGTGACTCTGATGAAAGTTTGTTCCCTTAGGACAAGGAATTATTAAGACATAATACTTTTAAGTATGGAATTTACTTTACATTCACAATGGAGTACAGTGGTACCGGTAGAGTAGAAACTCCTAGTAAATATTCGTAACTAAAGCAGACCGGGCGTGACCTAGTGTTTAACGTACCTGACTGCAAACCCGAGGGTTCCAAGTTCCGGTCCCGTTGCTACAACGTTGCGCTCTGTATTTTGGGGTCGCGTGTGCGTTATACGAATGACGGTAAAATTCTACTACTCGATTAGAGTAGCCTAGGCCTGGCATGGCCAAGTGGTTAGGGCGTTCGACTCGTAATCTGAGGGTCGCGGGTTCGAATCCCCGTCGCACCAAACATGCTCGCCGTGGGAGTGTTATCATTTTACGGTCAATCCCCCTATTTGTTGGTAAAAGAGTAGCCCAAGAGTTGGCGGTGGGTGGTGATGACTAGCTGCCTTCCCTCTTGTCTTGCACTGCTAAATTAGGTGACGGCTAGCGCAGATAGCCCTCGTGTAGCTTTGCGCGAAATTAAAAAGGGTAGGGTGTGTTGATTGGGACTTTCTAGTCTATCACTTAGAAACTAGGAACAAATAGTTCTAGTGTAGTTTTACGCGAAAATTCTAAACAAACAAAAAGTAACTCCAGCTATCAGAGTAGGTTTTCAATGTACACAAGAAATTTATGAAGAATTCAAAAATAAACCAATAGTTTGAAAAAAAAAAGGAGTTTAAAGTAAGCGTTAGAAACTGATTAACCGTTTTATTCACATCATTTCTTTCGTCTTGAGTCTTCACCATACGATTATATTCGCCTTCCAGCAGAATTTTTTAGAATTATTCTTAATTGAGATTTTAACAGAATCCGAACTTATCGTTTCTCTGTACCAGTCTGTAAAATATTTTAGAGGATAATCCGGGTAAAGAAACTATTAAGAAACGCAGCTGATAAGCAAATTGGACAATCCGGGTAAAGAAATTTCGAAACTATTAAGAAACACAGATGATAAGTAAATTGGATAATCCGAGTAAAGAAAATTTGAAATTATTAGAAAATGCAGATGATAAGTAAATTGGATAATCCGGGTAAAGCAATTTTGAAACTATTAAGAAACGCAGATGATAAGTAAATTGGATAATCCGAGTAAAGAAAATTTGAAACTATTAGAAAACGCAGATGATAAGTAAACGAAAGTTTAGTTATTCTGAAAAGTTTGGAGAAAGTAATGAAATTATTTTTACAGCAATTCATAAATATTGTATTTTTGTGAAACTTTAAGCATCAGAAGATATGTTTTCTTTTTTAGGGGTTCTCAGATAAAGTTTATCGTGCTCGAAGGAAGGAAATCGCCGAAATTGCTTTCAACTATAAATAGTGAGTTTCGTTATTTTTCAATAAAACTTTATGAACAATATGTCTTACATTAAAGTCAAATCGAGTTTGTTCTCCTCTGTTAAAAACATAAGTTTTTAAATTAACAATTTAACAAAATACAAGGAGTCTGTGACAAAAATATATTAATACTTGAAATATAACTTAACTTAGTATTTCTTTGGTTTCAAAACAATTACATTTTTGGTGTTTAGTTATTCATAATATTCTCCTTTATATCTTTCATTGTATAAAAAAAATGAATGTAACTAGGCTTAACAGTAATTGTTTATTCACCATTTGGAGCTTTATATGATTATGCAAACACACACTAGGGCAGAGAAATATCCCCCTCTGAAAATCATATCTTATCTTTATTTCTTACTTAGTAGAATCATAGAATGTTATGATACTTCGCAATAAATCAAATATAATTCAACAAATTAAACGCAACATTACCAGTTATTTTGAATTCTTAATAATCTGAATATTGGTAATTAGCTTTCAAAAGAAGAATCTAAAAAGTTTAGTGACTTGTATATTTTGAGCTCCCAATGCGACAATAACTACTGCATAAAACGCAAAGTTATCTTGATTACTAAAGATCATGATGGGCTGAATAAAACTAAATTAAGCCAAAACACTAGCACTCAAGTGGTCATGATGAAACGGTATCATTGAGCCAGTCATGATGAAACGGTATCATTGAGCCAGTCATGATGAAACATCAGCACTCGGGTGGCCATAATAAAACACTAGCACTGAGCTGGTCGTGGTGAAACACTAGCACTGAATTGGTCATGATGAAACACAATCATTTAACTTGTCATGATGGAACACGAGCACTGAGCTGGTCATGATGAAACACGAAACTCAACTTGTCATGATTAAACACTAGCACTCACTTTGTCATGACGAAGCACTAACATTCAGGTGATAATGATGAAACACAAGCACTCAGGTGATCCTGATGAAACAGTAGCACTCAGCTGTTCATGATGAAACATTAGCACACAGTTGGTTATGATGAAACGCTAGTATTCAGGTGGTCATGATCTACTAGCACTGATCCGGTCATTATGAAACACTAGCACTCAGCTGGACATGATTTTTGTCAGCTCGATTAATTTTTCCATTACCTTTACCTTGAAACTTGATAATCCCTCAGTAAACAGCTTATATTCTTCATTACTTACCTTTTTTTTTACCATAATAGTGGACAAGTCATACCTCGAGTACAGTATACAGAAGAAGAGATTCAAACGTGGTAAGCAAACTAAAAAGCTTGGTAATGCTAAGCTAATACGATTAAACGATAAATAACATAAACAGCTTCGTACTAGTGTAATTAAACAAACTTCTTTTGCATGTCTACCGAGATGTTCATAGATTATGATTAAATGTTAAATGGGTGACATCACATTTGTTAATACTTAAGATAACCATGAATGGTGGTCTCCACGAATTTTGATGACCTGTTGTAAATCAGGGACTTAGATGATAGGAAAGAATACCGATAATAATTAATTTTGATATATGAAAACATTATGGGCAACTTTACTTTCTGGAAGTGTAAGAGTTTGATTTTTTAGACCACTCTTCGGGGGTTAGACCAATTCGGGAACATTAATTTCTCCACATCAGAACTTTTTATAATTAAGAAACATTTTTAGCGTAAGACACTAGTCTTATAACATAATAACAAAAAAAAACAAATATTTCTGTATCATATGATCATTATAACAGTCTAGGTACAATTGTTTAATGTCTACTGATAGCAAAAAGACGACTGGCTAAGTTCGTGTATGAAATGACAACAATGATGGGTGTATATCACTGCGTTTGTGAACCCTGTTTGCTAATTAATAGATAATCTAGTTTTTGTGACCTATTTTATAAAGTAATTTATAAGTCGACTTGTAATCTACATAGATTTACTACCATTTTCAGCATTTTGGTTATTTCACGTCTAAGAATGAATATATAATTTTCCGATAGTTTTCTATCTGAAATAGCAAAAGTTTGTGTTCTAATAAATATATTTCATTTTTGTTGTTGGTTTTTTCACTTCCAACAACAGGTGTCAGTACCAAAGTATAACGATATGAATAACATATTATAATTTCAATAAGTTAAATACACTGAGTTATGGAGAGTCATTCTGCTTGAGATATTCTGTTTGTTTTGAATTTCGCGCAAAGCTACACGAGGGCTATCTGCGCTAGCCGTCCCTAATTTAGCAGCGTAAGACTAGAGGGAAGGCAGTTAGTCATCACCACCCACCGCCAACTCTTGGGCTACTCTTTTACCAACGAACAGTGGTATTGACCGTCGCATTATAACGCCCCCACGGCTGAAAGGGCGAGCATATTAGGTGTGACGGGGATTCGAACCCGCGACCCTCAGATTGCGAGTCGAGCTCCTTAACCACTTGGCCATGCCGGGCTTGAGATATTGTAATAAATGAATTGTGACTATTGCATATATTTTTTTTCAATATAACTGATTTTGTGGTTAAGTGGAACTACTCTTAGCTACTCTTATTTTACGCGTTATCCTGTAGTCCTTACTCCTAAACCTTACAGTCTGTAGTGCTTGGTTCGCATCCCCGTCCCACCAGATA